TTTTAAAATTTCGAAAATTTTTGAAATCTCTTGAGGCCTGAAAAACTTTCAAAATTTTTGAAAAATCAAAAAACGCTGGAAATTGTCTGAAAAGTGCACAAAAGAATTTTTTTTGGAAAATTTTGAAAAAAATTGGAGGTGAACTTTTTCAATTCCTTTGCTTTTGTGCCCTTTTGGAGAATTTCCAGCATTTTCGATTTTTTTGAAAAGTATGAAATTTTTCAAAATTCCATCACCTGATGCCTTGCAAAAACCGGTCTCTGTCGGACTGTTTGTGATGTACGGTGTTTCTGACGATGCAGTCTGAGCCTGAAAAAAGTTTCAATGTCAAATTTTTCAAATTTTTTTGGTTTTGCACGCTTTTTGGACAATTTCAACAATTTTTTTCTTCAAAATTTCCACCCCTTTTTGCCTTGCAGGTCCGGTGTCTGTTTCTGATGTACTTAGTCTCTGACAAATGCGGTCTGTGCCTTATTCGGTCTCTGACACGGCCTTTAAAAATCTCTTATGCAGCAGACAACACATAAGGCAGAGACGGAGTCCTGCAGATGCCGGTTGGTGCAGACACGGAGGCAGGCAGCAACCTGGCGAGATAGAGGCCGAGTCTAGCAGAGACATTCACCGAGTTTGGCAGGCATCTCTTTTGGAGATTTTGGAAAAATCAAAAAATGCTGGAAATTATCTGAAAAACTGACAAAACAAGAAAATTAAAAAAATTTCAATGGGAAATTTTTCAAATTTTGTTGGTTTTGTGAGCTTTTTGGACAATTTCCAGCATTTTTTGATTTTTGAAAATTTTGAAATTTTTCAAAACTTCCAACACCTGATGCCTTGCAAGTCCGGTATCTGTTGGACTGTTTCTGATGTACTATGTCCGTCATGAATGCGGTCTGTGCCTCAGTGGGTCTCTGCACAGACTGCTTGCTCTCTGTATGACACAACTCTGACGTGCCGCCTCTAAAAAGTTACGGTGCGGCAGACAACATGTAATGCAGAGACCGAGTCCTGCAGAGGCCGGTTGGTGCAGACACCGAGGCAGGCAGCAACCGGGCAAGATGGAAGCCGAGTCCGGCAGACAGGGTTAGTTATTCACCGAGTTTGGCAGGCATCTCTTTGGGAGAGTTTAGAAAAAACTATTCAAATTTTTCAAGTATTATTTGTTTTGTGCGCTTTTTCGACATTTTCCAGCATGTTTTGATTTTTCTAAAATATTGAAATTTACTTCTAGGCCCACCTTTCTACTAGCTACTAGTAAAACTTCTGTGCTCCTCTTTATTGTATTTATATTGTCACCCAATAAATTAACATCATCAGCATATGCCAATAGCTGATGTGTCCCATTCAATTGCAAACCCTCCTGCCTATCTTGGACTTTCTTGATGGCGTATTCTAACACAAAGTTAAAGAGCAAAGGAGACAACACATCTCCTTGTTTCAGACTGTTCTTGATGGAAAATGAGTCAGATAAATATTTACCTATACAAATTTTGCTACAGGTTTCATTTAAGCACATTTTATTAGACTCAATGTCCTCTACAGAAGCCCATTATAATAGATATGCAGTGATCTCAATATCAGGCCAAAATAATTGCTATATAGTTTCCACCATAAAATCTCATTATAATGACAACATAAGTGTCTCCATACCAGCACACCATAAAGGCTACATAGGTGATCCATACCAGTCCCATATCTCCTAGATACATGCATCCTAGGAGCCTTCATGCAAGCCCATTATTACTCTATGCTTGGCTTGGCTGTTCTAGACCAGGACTGCCTCAGCTAGGCTGGTCCATTATGGTCTATGCTGTGTTAGGATGAGGTGGTCTAGTATGAACAAGAATATGCTAGGCTAGCATACTCTAGACAGAATGAGTGTGGCTGGCTGGGACAGCTAGTGTGGCATTGCCTGGCGGCTGTCACAGTACTTGTGCTGCCACTGCCACCACTGAAATAGCAATTCTGTCTGGCATTCACATTATCTAAATTTTCTTTTGTGTTCTGTCTTTTGTTTTCTGTCTTTAATATATTCTCGCAACAGCGCATTAAATGTGTGGCGTTCAAACATACGTTGAGACACTTTTACTTTAGCTCCTGGGTGAAGTGGCAGTACCAGGAATCGTGTAAATGTGGAGTAAAATATTGGCACCATGGTCTTGTATGACTTCTCCACACATGCCCTCTTAGAGCTGACTTCTCTATTCACAGATGTGAACAGTTTGTACAAGTCATCTGTTGGGCTAGTACACAGCAGCTGTTGACAAACTGCCTGGATGAACCAGGTTCCTGAAACATTACATCAGTAGTTTAACTTGGTAACAAACACTCCCAGATCTATGAGGAAGGGGAAGAACTGGTGCCTGGCCTAAACCAATGCGAATGGATTTGGAAGTGTAGTCACTCAGCTCACGACTGTGACTGTGCTGTCAAACTGTATTCAGTGGTCATAGTTAAATAGTTTTGCCATTACCAGGCGTTCAAGAGGGTGGAATGAGAGGTTTCTATGGTGCTCATCTGGGCATTGTACGATTTTAACCCATTTTACCAGTGCAGGTGGCTTGGCATTTGCATGGGATCTTGAGGGTAGGCTCCAGGAGCTTTCCTACCTTACTGCCCTAAATTAGACTAGAAACAAAGCATGTCTTTGGCAATGGTACATGTACTGTTTTTATGATGTACCGTGACCATATTCTGCTGATGAGGTTGGCTAGATTCCACACATAGGCAGGAGCATTGGGCACAGATGCTTTAAAACCCAGTTGTTGGTTTAGGTATGTGGATGATACTTTTTTAACTGGCTGCAAAGTCAACCAGAGCTGACCAACTTCTCTATCACGTAAACAGGATCCATCAAAATATTCAGTTTACACCGGAGCACGAAGAGAGAGGTCACCTGTTGCACAAACTTTGTATATTAATTTTATTTTTGATCTGGGCAGACCTGATTAAGGCTTTGAATAATGTGGCAGATGTACTCTAAATTACACACATTAAAAAATTGTATAAAATCCTACACTGCTTGTTTGGGGAGTTGGGGTGGGAGCTATTGTAACTGTAGTAACTATAAAATTGACAGCATTTGAAATAAACTATAAAATTGACATGGTTTCACTGTATAATACAGGTCAGTTGTTTCTATGATGATATTACAGACATTTATGAACTTTTAAAAATAGCACATACACCTGGTGTAGTTATAAGAACAATGTTTGTGAACTTACCTTCAATTTCATGCCTAAATGAAGCAAATCCAGGTACTGTGGACCAAAAAGTCATGAAATCAGTCGAGCTGCCTCTGTTGTGCACTGGACCATCAGATGCAATGTCTTCACTCGACACAGCTGTCATCAAAAGAGCACAGTAATCATCAAAGATTTTCATCTGGACTTTTTTCTTTAAATGGTCTTATTTTTAACACATCAATATTATAGTAAATATTTTGTGGTTACTCCACATCTTTTGAATGCAATTTGCATCTGATTGGCTTTTAGAAAGGCATAAATATAGGAACTACCAACCCAAAACATTTTGAGGATGTGTCACTGTCATAAAGATAAATTCCATTTCCTGAGTTACAATTTGGCAAGAAATGTTCTGTCTTGATGTTACTGTCCTACATGCATGACCTTCAAATGAAATTAACTATGCACTGGAGCTTAACATCAGAATAACATAACGTTTTTATAACTTTCCTATACAGTGGATCTAAATGTACTGTACTAGATACATATGGAGCGACATTCTTGCTGCACAAAGACAACCTAAACCACACTAACAATATACACAACTGATACATTTCAGTGGCTTAATCCAAACAGTATGTCCATTCTTTAACATAAATATTTATATTATGGCATTTTCTTCACACCAGAGGTAACGGTGACACTACCACAACTAACCGTGTGAGGCACTGTATAAGATAAAGATAGCATCAAATTAGAATTGCTAATAGTATATGTAATAGTCTCAGTAAGACAACTTTAAAGAGGTAACAATATTTACGCAACACAGATGTACGTCTTTTTTAAACAGATGAATGACTCCTGCAAGTAATAAAAAAAATTCCTTTATGTTCCTGTCTGCACACCCTCGAAGACAGTACAAAGATGTTTAAAAAATGAAGTAATAAGCACTTCTATGTAAAGGACTTTATTGTTACACAGACGCATGTATGACATAAGAGAAGACTCTAGTAACCATCACTTTTCCTCATAGTCACCACAGATGTTACGCACCTTTAGCTTGGGAGTTATAGTGCGCCACGTCATGACAATTGTAAACTGCTTACCAGTCACATTCTCCTTTGACTTGGTGTGGCAGGTGGTCCAGAACCTCCCACTCATGTAACATGCCATTACCTTACTTTTTTTAAACACCCTCACTGCTTGCTCAATAACAGACTCTGTATGCATGTTTCTATACTTCTGTAAAATGGCTTCTGCTGTAAAAACTCACCATCCTGTTGACTCTGTCCCTGGCATGCCTGGATGATAAGGATCTTTGGCTTCCCCATCAACTTGGTACAGTCCTTCATCAGCCTCTCCAGACCATCCACACATACAGGAATGCTGTCTGACCCATAAACTGCACCTGTAACCCCATGTCAGTCATCTCAGGATTCTTATTTGTGGGGACCCTCCCCTACAGACTAAATACTACATACGCAAACATCTGCACACAACTAGTAACTGTTCAGAAAGCAGTAATATGTTTCTCTGTAGCCAGTTATATTGATCTCAAAGAATCTTATCTAAAAAAGGTTTTCCATCAAGTACATAAATATTTCTCTCTTCTCTGTAACCTCCAGCATATTTTAATGGAGATAAAATCCAACTAGACAAATTGATCAGGTTACAATAAACATGCTTTTGTACCTTACAGGCATATTATATAATAATATTTCTGAAAGTAATTCATGAATACATTATCATTCTGTCCATTTCTCCCTTGTTCTTGTGATCTACAGTATTAGAACTTAAGACATGCAACCATATCAAGCTTTTTTTAAACAACACTGAACAAAAAGATACCAGCATAAAATCTGTATTTAGCCATCAGTTTGACAACAGCAACAGGAATTATGCATTTCAAATGTGCTGAGGAGATAATCATAAATATACATACAAATCATGTATTATATAGTTTACAAGTAAAAAATAAAAATAAAAGGTAGTGGTTCAAATTTTGTAGGTTTCTTCCAACAAATTTAATGCACAATTAAATATTTTGTGCTTAAACAATATCGTAAATATAGTAAAACCTCTCTAACTTGGACAGTTTCATCCGCGTTGAAAATGTCCTCTTCTGCGTATCCCAACAAAAGGCTTGGAAGTTTGCGTTTCCAATCTTCAGCAGCTTGAAGATCAGCAGAAGCTGATTCGCCAGAAAGGATGTGCAGACTTATGTTATTTCGTTTATGGAAACGATCCAACCAGCCATTGCTCGCCGAGAAATCTTCGGTGTGGAGTCTAGTTGCAATTTCTCTAGCCTTCTCCTGTAAAAGTGTGCCACTAATGGGAATGTTCTTTGCACGACAACACCAGAAAAACTCTAACACTTTGTCATTTAGTTCATCATGAGGTGTTTTTCGTAGTCTTTTTCTGTCTGCATTACAATTCTTTTCCCACGCATCGGTAATTGCGGCTCTGTTGCTGTTGATGTTGGAAACAGTAGATTTTGAGATGCCGTATTTCTCTGCCAGCTTCCTGCAACTTTCTCCTATCTTCAGAAGATCCAAAACTTCTTTCTTCTTTTCCAGAGTTAATTCCACCAATTTCTCATTCATAAGCTAATCCTCAGGTAGAAGGCATTCATTCATCAGTCAGAAATTCAAAATAACAAAATACTAACTGTAAATGTTTCCCATAAAAGCATTGAAGCTAAGTGCATGAACCTGTCCAACTTACAACAAAAGGGGTGTTCAAGTTCCAGGATAGAGGGGTGTCCAAGATATAGGGTGTTGTGGACATGTAAAATTATAGGATATTCGCCGGTTCCAATTAAAAGTGTCCAATATAGAGGGGTGTCCAGGATATAGGGGTGTCCAACTAGAGGGGTTTTACTGTACTCTAGAAAATGACAATTTGTAAAATATTTACAATTCCAAGAATAAAAAATGCTAATGTAACTAGGATCTGATCATATAATCATCTGTGCACTAGAGCAGCATGCTAACTCATGAGCTGAACTTCATTTTATTGTATGAGCTGAGGCTTTCACGGTAACGAAGTATAATAAATTATTTTCAGGCAACCAGCAATGTAAGGTGGCAAAATGAAACAAACACCAATGTTTTAAGATCCATTTTCATCCTTGTCCTCAGGGTACTGTATCCTGAGGATGAAGACGGTTCTCAAATCATTGGTGTTTTCTTCATTGAGCCACCTTACACGGCTGATAGCCCGAGAAGAATTTATGATGCATATCATTGTTGGGATTACATTCCTCAGCAGGTCATGATATTCACCTCATTTTATAAAATCTGAAGATTCGCTACCATGTTCACAAGAGGCCCCTGTTGGCTTTAGTGAAGAGCACAAATTATGAAGCTCATTATGGAATTTTATTCACCTTCCTGTTGCTTACTCTTAGGTCCAAATGTATTCTATATCAGATGTAATGGTTTTTGTATCACTATGACAGTAACTAAGGCCTAGTTTGTGATAACAAAATATACCACATGCCAGATCCATAAAAATATTCTTTAATGCTCTCCTTTGTTATGCAGTGATAGCACAATGCTTTCTACAACTCAACAGATAAAAATGAAGTTAGCTGAATTTTAGGAGTGTTTTAATTTTACATCCGGTTTAACTGCATGTACTTGTACTGCTACTTCAGTGGTGATATCTTTGAACTGTTTTTGTAGTATGGCAACCACTCACAATCCAGTAATTTATAGTCTTCACTCCAGTCCTGGGTCATAACCCACACTTTAAAAATAATTATCTAAAATAAGTAAGTGTGCAAACTCACCACGTTCACCATGAGAAAGGATACAAAGCACAAAGCAAGAGTGTTCTTTCTTAACACGCGTCTCAAGAGTTAACTGCACACTTTTCAGCAGATCACTATGTGTAAGATTCTGGCCTATCCACACTGTGAAGCCAAGGCTGTAGAATGTTTCACTTAAACGATCTCGGTCCATATCTGTCCCAAGCCGTAGGTCCAGTTCATGATCTGCAACCTCGCTCTGCGAACCCAACACTACTTCATTAACACCTTGTTCTGGACTTCAAAAACAAACCATTGTAAACAAAAGAACAATAAAATCAGACTGGCATGAATAAAGTTTTACTATGCCTACCTTCCGACAAAGACTTTGGTCTCTGTAGAATTTTTTCTGGTTTATGACGACACAGTAGCCAACATTATTGGGATCCACTGGATAATGATGTACTATTGGGTGCTCCACCTGGTCACAACTTGAGGCAACACTGTGCTGTGACCTGCACTCTGTCAGGGACCTACAAATTAAATCACATATAATTAATATTTTAACTGTTACTATAAAGTTTACTTTTCATACTGAATCGTTCCACAATGTAAGGTGCTTGCCAATTGCTTTATATGGAAAACATAAAAAACTCTTTAAATTCATTTTTTACCTCAGTTCAGATACAGTGAACAATTAAGTATATCAGTACACATTCCAACCTTGCCAGTACAATGTAAATAAAACTCAATGTTTAATTTATTCAGTCAAAGGATGAATGACTGTCAAATACATTATCTACTATCTAACAGTTAACTCATATCACACTTTAGAGCAAGAAATTTATGTTATATGTGTCTAATTAGCAGTTTTAACAGTATCTGATAAGTAATAATATTGTCTGAAAATAAACTTTACAAAATACATTACTCTATTTTTTCTTATATAGTCTATACTTTCTTTTATATAATTCTGAGACCTTTATAAAGTGTTACAAAAAACTTCCCTGTGACAGACTGGAAATCTCAGTATAATATTAATACATGTCATTTATTTCTTCTTAAATTATCTTGTAAGTATGTAAGAAAAGATCCTTCATATTATTTCACAAACTTTGCACTTCCCAATTTGTAAGCAGTAAAAAATTCACACCTGCCACTGTAATGTTAATGTGTTACACATCTTCTTACCCATCACTGGAACTCTGCAGTGATATGTTGGCATTCGGTTGATTAACTCTTGTATAAACAACAGACACATTTATGGTTGCTTTCACTGCAGACTCAAGTTTCTCAACTAGACCTGTCTCTCCCATGGCCTTTAATGCAGACTTTAACCTGTGGACATTCACTCCACAACCATCCTTGTCTCCCAGGCTAAACCACAAACCAGACAAAAGTAGTTAATAAGTAGGGAAATACTGCTCTTTTTATCAAAAATCAATTACTTACATTCAGAGAGTGATCTTTAGACATGTGCAAAACTTGAAATTTAAACTATCTGTATACTTCAGGAGTTTCTATTTGTGAACAATAGATGGCTGAACTTCTTAAATGTTTAACCCTTTTGTACTCATATGTAGATTACATAATCCATCCACTAGTGATGTTAGATTCTTTCATTACTATTATCTTCCATCTGATTTGCTCTGCCTTAAAATTATATAAACCAGGTCCTTTATCCACCTTCATGCATCTGGGTTTTGGAATCATGTAGACTTAGTACTTGTTTTGAATAAACATACTGTCTCAATCTTCAGAGCTGAAGTGGCCATGCTGGGAATTGGAGGGATTTATGAATGGTTGAAAGACAGGAAAGTTGAGGAAGTGGGCCAATTAGGGACAAGGAATTATGGGGGAAAATTCCAGGCCAATAGGGTAACTCAAAGTGGGCATCTGCCACTTCAGGCCTGAAGATGGAGACAGCACGTTTCACCAATACATTGGAAGCTACTTAGGAGTATAAAGAGCACCAAAATTGAGACCACCATCATCAATGCTGTGAAAACTTCAAAATTTATTTAATGCATGTCTGAATCTATGCCTCTAAATTTAGGTAAAAGTATTTCTGTATAAACATTAATGTTATTGCAGTGATTTTCTTTACATGTTGATTCATAAGTCATGGTATGATTCCCATGAATTTATCTGACATAACAGAGAATAGACGCCACGGTGGTCTAGCGGTTAGAACGCTGGCCTTGTAATCCTGGGGTCTCGGGTTCGATTCCCGAATTTATAACTTGTGTTGGGCAAGGCCGTGGTCTAGGCAATACGGAGTTTTCCTCCGTGGCATCCCAACAATTACTCCATTCACACACAGAAGAAGGCAATGGCAAACCACTTCTGGATCATCTGCCAAGAACGTATATGAACAGGTCCCAGTCCGAGAAAAGGATGGAAGGATCCTGTTCATATGGACCTGTCGTCAGACAGAACACTAAATAAATAAAAATAACAGAGAATATCTATCAAGAGAATGCATTGATAGATTATCAACCTCTATTTTTAGTAGCATCACAATAGTAGATTGTCGCCCTCAGTGAACTAGTGGTTAGCATGCTCGCCACTGGACCCAAGGTTCGCGGGTTCAATCCTGGCCAAGGTCGATGGATTTCTAAAGGTGATAAGAAACCGTAGCACAACTTCCTTCAGAGGGGAAGTAAAGCCGGCGGTCCCATGTAGTAGATATATGGCATGTAAAAGAACCTTACGAGCATGATATGAGATGCTTCATAAGCAAAATTCAGCGGCCATTTCTCACCCAAGTCTCCTGATTAACTGCTAGATGGCTCTGGCAGTAAAATCAGGATTGAGTAGAAATTGTGCAGAGGCAGTGGGCTGGTCACTCACTACTCACAAATGCACACTTGAAGACCAAGAAACCTCTGAAAGAGGAGGTGGCGAAAACCCACAACTGGGTTGCAGTGCCAAGAAACAACAACCATCCAAACCCCAGTCTCCTATAACAATTCTAAGCTTATAAAAATACAAACTGAACAACAGCAATATCCTATAAAATCCTTTACATGTTCACAATGAAATGTAGTGAGAAGGATAAATTAACTTCTTTCCTCACAGTCCTGGCATGGATTGTGTCAGGGTCTCATAACTACATTAAAATAATGGTTGTCTGAGCCTATCACATCTAAAGTACATTGACAGGCGAGTATGGAACATAGGCAGAAATAGAATGGCAGGAGAAACCAAAAGTACTCAGAGAAACAATCAATCGTGTTTTCACCAAAAACCTCAAATAAATGGTAAAGAGAAGGAATTTTTATACATAAAGTGTTGACACCTTATAAAGATACAAAAATTTGTAATTCATAAAACACTACAGAAACTTTTTCTCCATAGTTATACCACAATCCACAATTTCCCTCTCTTCTTACCTGATATAGCCTCTAGATGACCAGCACAGTATGTTTACTTCCATGTACTGTGGATCGAAAGTTTCTAATTCCACTCCATGCAGACATCTGTAGTCTTCTTTGATACGTCTCAAAAGCTCATTTAATCCTTCAGAATCCAATGACTCACAGACATGATACAAAGCTTTTCGCACGCAGTTAACAAACAAAGAAGATTCCGGTGAGTGTGGCAGAAATCTGGCCTTCTCATCGTCAACACTGCAACCCAGTTTCTGCAGCATCTGATAGTTCTGAATAATGCACAATGCCTCGAGAAGTTTATTTTCCCAGATGCCATCTTTTTGTACTCTTACCCATGCTGATAAGAAGTCTGCTGTGTTCAGACTGCCACTAAGTCGTGTTTTTTCAGCTATCATCAAACTCTGTAGCACACATTCCACTTCATCATACAGCAGG